TAGTCCTGGGAGCTGCGGCTCCACAGAACCTTGTTCTGGACTTATTTTCTAGCCTTCTTTGCCTTCTTCCTTTGCATTCTACTCTGCATCCAAGTGTAGATGTCCCATCTGGCTCCCAATTACTGGGCCACGGGGCTGAAAGAGAGTTATAGATTGAGTGGGGCTCGCTTGGCACGTTCCCCATGTGCCTTGTGGACACATTTACAGTTGTTCCTCTTCTTCTTTCGTTCCAGTGAAGGTGATCTTTATCTGCCTCTCTGAGACGTGGCGAAGGGGTTACTCATCTACTGTTTAAAACGCATTTGGAAATTGATAAGTGCTCATTATTATTACTCTGGTATCCTGCGCTTTGTTCTAAATACCTAGAAACCTGAGGTGAGAAGATTTCAAATAAAAAGTTATCCAGATAACCATCATCTCCCACACAAAAGTTGTGATTGACCCTCTTCCCTGGTGACCATTTTTCACTCTGCTAGTAGTTGTTCCCCCTACATCTAGACCTTCTTCTTGAGTAGGATAGCTGGAGGAGAGAGGGTACTTGAGCTGTGTGATGCGGATCGTTCCACATTTCCAGTATTTGTCATATGGGAAGTGCTTTACATAAATCGTTTCATTCAATCCTTCTAAAATATGCATAGGCGGCCATTATTAGCATATTACACATCAGCGAACAAGTGCTTATAGCTGTTAAGTAGTCACGTGTTGCTTAATGACGGGGCTCTGTTCTGAGAAATGTGGCATTTGCCAATTTCATCGCTGCAAGAACATCAGTGAACTACACAAATTTAGACAGTATAGCCTACTATACACCTAGGCTCCTAGGCGACAACCCTGCACAGCATGTTAACTGTTCTGAATACTGTAGGCAATTGCAGTTCATTGCCCTGAAACATCACGATGGCCGAGATGTCACTAGGCTCAAGTAGAAGACAGAAAATTAATATGTTAGGAAGAGTGAGTTGGCATGAGGGGAGAAAAACAAACCCACGCATTGTTTCCTTGTTCTACGAACAGAGTCCACGGAACAAAGAAGAGACATAAAGCAAGAGTCCCAGTAACTAAAGCAGTCTCGATCTAGCAGAAGGGAAATTTAACCTGAAAAACATAATCGATTTTGAAGTTGGAGACGCTGTTAACAATAATTTAGTCTTGTGTCATCTTTTGGCAGATGGGGACATTGGAACCACAAAGGCGAGTAATTCTTGCCCAACTCTTTAACGTGATAATCACTTATTTTTACTTTAATGTCATAGTAAGAATAGCTAATATTTTTTAAGGCTTGCTTGTTTACTGAATGCAAGACACTTTTCTAAGCCCTCTCTGTGCTTTTGTTCGTTGAATCCTTGCAACTCTGCCTAAGAGGCAACAGTATCATTCTTTTCTTTGGAAATACCTACAAAAAAGGGTACTGAAAGGTTCTGGTAAAATTGTCTTTGAATGTAATCTGCAGCTTCTGGGTATTTTAGAGGAGCCACGTCAGCAATTTCCAAACCATATTCCAGTAGATCTAGGAACCCCGCTGCGAGGTGTGGGTGGCGATAGGATAAAGGACAGAAAGTCTAGGACCTCAACCAGGCTGCCACCCCATACAAATCCTCTTCCAGTTGTTTTACATTTTGTTCTGTGCCTTGTGATTTAATCTGATCAGAGGGGCCAATGAATACGAAGTCTGACAGCTGCTGATCTAGATGACTTATGAGACCTGTGTGAAATCAAGGACTCAGTGACTACTTCCCTCACTTCTTTTTAATTGAGATATATTTGACACGTAACAGTGTGTAAGTTTAAGATGTACACCTGTTGACTTTATACTCTTATATTTACTTCCCTCAATTCTGACCAGTGTCTTCTTCCCGCTCTCTCTGAAACTCCCGTTGTCATTTCGTAAACTCTTTCTCTCATGTTCTGCAGAAGTGACTACAGGGGCAGCATTCGGCTCGCAGTTAAGCTTCCGAATATTTTCAGAATGGAATGTCCATTTCCCCTGTTTATTTCCCTTCACTCTTCTCATTAGAAACATGATCAGTTCTTCAGAAACCGCTACGGCATCTGAAGGCAGGAAGCCGGGATCCAGACGCCAGTCACATCACATGTGTTTCAGGAGTGACGTTGTCACAGAATGCAGACACGTCCCCAGAACCTCTGCGTCATCACTGGAAATCTTTGGGTGCCGGGAAATTTGGGTTTGTAATGGAAGTTGTCACTGAACATCAGCACAAACGCTCGAGCCTGAAGAAAAGTGTCCTCGAAGGAATTTGTGATGTGACACTCACGCGGCCCGATGTGTGGCTGTGGAGACCTGTTCTTCAACATGAAATTTTTCTTCCCGGACGGTCGGATGTCTTCATGGGCAGACTTCTGCCTTCGAGCATTCACGGGGTGTTAAGATGATCACTCTGCACACAGGAACGGTGGGAATGCCCAGTCCGAGTCTTCTCCCCACGGAGATGACATACTCACACAGGGCTCTTTGATAAACCACCGAATTCTTTAGGGCCTTGGGATTATTCTCGACTATCTATATAGCTTGATATGGGCGAGTTTATAACTCCACTCTTAGAAAGGTCTGCACTGTACTGCTGGTATTTACTGCTGAGGTTTCTTTTGCAAACGTAATGTTGTTTTTGAGGAACGACGCTGAGTTGTGTTCACATTGAAATGACGGGTTCCAGGCAAAGTTAATGGATCAGATCTGACTAGGTAAGTAAGACAAGCACTTTGGGAGGATCGTTTGTAGCTTCTCCAGTCCTGCTTAATGAGCTAGAAAAGTAATTTACTAGGTTTAATGTAGAGGCTGGGAAAAATTTATTCCAACCCCCGCCCCCCAAGAAAAAAAGCAACACTTTATGCCTTGAGACCATATCTTATTCACCTTGTAGGGTCTGGTACATTGCCTTCTCTAACAACTCGTTTTGGTCTCTTAAAGTTGCCGTTGTTCTGTTGGATGGATTTTTAAAATAGGCACAAAATGTATAAAGGAAGAAATAAACCAGGCAGTCATTCACATTCTAGTGTAAATAGCCTCACAGAGGATTTCTTCCTTCCTGAAAGGAAGGTTTCATTTGGAATTGTTGAAAGGGGCATTAAAAAATAAACATAATCATTGTGCAATGAGTTCTTCCTAGGAGAACTTTGAAAAGGATGTGAGGAGAATGGATTGAAATTGTCAGCACCGAAGATGTTCTGGGCTTGCCTTATACTTTTCCCCAGGGAAAGTCAGTACGTTGTCATATTGTTGTTATCTTTTCCAAAGAATACCATTTTTTGGCAAATTTAGAAATCGGTGAGTCTGCCACGGTTTTTCCACTCGACGTTTCACTGAGAGCTTTACCATCTGCCAGGTGCCATGCCAAGCACATTACATGCACTGTTTTCATTTTATCTCCACTGTAGCATTTATGAGCTACGTGCTACTTAGGCTCAAAATGATGCTTATTCTGCACCAGGCTAAGCATTTTAGACATTTTAAACTCAATCTGTACAACGACCCTCTGATTTAAGTATTATTATTTCCCCATTTTACCGAAACAGAAACTGAGATACGAAGAGATTAGCTGACTTGCTCCAGATCTCACAGCTAGTAAATCATAGAGCTATGATTTATGTTACGGCATTCCAGCCCCAGAGTCAGCACTCTGAACCCCTACTTTATATGATGTTATCTTTATCAGTGAGGAAATAGAAGCATAGAGACTAATAACTTGCCCAGAGTCACACAGGCAATAAATAATGGAGCAGGAACCCAGACTCAAGCAGCCTATAAAACTACATCACCTACATCACCTGTGTACCAACCCGCACATCTTCTCAACTCTCCTCACTCATTCCTAAAGCCACAATTACTTGCTTCTCCCTCAATGTAGATTTCACTGTGGCACTTCCTATTCTTTAACGATAAGACTAGAAAGGGAAGAAATTAGCCTTTATCATTAATTTAGCTCATTTATTTAAATTCTGAATAGATTTTGGGTATGGTTTGCACTGAATTAGTTGCCAGTGTCAAAGACAGTCTTAAGTTCATCTAGAACGGTGCTTCTTAATCTTTAATGAGCACATGACTCACCTGAAGGTCTTGTTAAAATGCAATTTCTGATTCAGTAGGTCTGCGATGGGCCTGACACTGTATTTCCAGCAAGCTCCCAGGTCATGCCGCTGCTCTTGAAACACAATCCATGCTTTGAGTAGCAAGGCTGGAGCACCGAGTCTTTCCAAACTGAGCATCGAAATTTATCCTGGAGTTCAAATTGGAAGGAGAATATTTTTATAGATGGGAGACCATTTAGGGAGTATGATGGGATCAACGTTGGGCAGACAAGGATGGTAAGATCTGAGCTACACAGACTCCCCAGGTCAACTAAAAATTAAGGGTCATCAGGCCTAATCATGCAACTGATGTTTGCATCCTCTCGTATCCTGGCCAGTTCATCTCAGCCCGTGAGTTAAAGAATGATCTGCAATGAATAGAACGAAACAGTCAACAGAACAAGAGAATTTCAAGATGGTGCCTGAATCACAAAAATAATCCGAGAGTGAAAGACCGGGGGAAGAGCCTGTGATGTCTCATACTTGTTCAGACAGACATTCGCCTCAATTCCCGAGGCTTTGGATATTTATTCCAAAGCTTTTAAATCTTACTATTTCATAAGAAAAACAATGCACTCTACCAGAGAACCAGCTGGGAGCACTTAGTCCTCAAGCATCTGCGTCCCACTGTAAAATAAAGATTTCAATGCTGACTGGCAGGTGAGAAATGGTGACAGCTGTTTCGCAGCTGGGCTGCTTCTCGGCTGCACTGACTATACATACCAAGGCCTTGAGAAAACATATTTTCAAGAATCAAGAATCATACGACAAGGAATGGTTTCTTCTCGTTTTTTATTTTACAACCTGAACCAAAAGGCACTTTTATTGCTGGGTCTTTTGACTGGGGAGGTGCCAGCTTCTTTCTGGTTCCTCTTTTCTCAGGCTGTCGTTTTGCCAGTTCTCTGCTTCTGTTTCAGGTGCCCGGGGAGAGCGAGAGACAGTGGAAGCCAGCCCTGGTGGTACTGACTGAGAAGGACCTTTTAATCTACGACAGCATGCCACGGAGGAAGGAAGCCTGGTTCAACCCGGTTCACACGTACCCACTTCTCGCCACCAGGTAGCCATGACTTTGTGGTTGAGTGTCACGAGTTTGCGGGTTGAAACTATTTTCATCAATTACAATGATTTCAACACCTTCGATTACTGCTTACTATTGCAACAGGAGTGGAGAGTTGCTCCAGAATATAGCCACCTGTTTTCAGCCAGATAGAATTACCGGTTACAGCCAAACGTGAGGCAACACAGAGACAAAGGACAAACTGCTTGTCCAACATGAAGGAATAGTGACACCCATGAGATGGTCCCAGCCTAGTCACCTTCCTGGGTCTCCATCCCATCCCCTTTGGGATGAGCTATGCACATGTATTTACAATCTTGAAGTTCAGGTAGAAACAATTATCAAGCAAGGGTCTTCACTTGGTGGCACAAAGGATGTCATATGGGAACGTTCCGCTGTGCTTTTTTAAAGCGCGTTCAGCGTGAGAGATGCCGTAACGAGTTCTTCCTCAGTTGCATGAAACTTCCTATGGAAGTGAGGCTGCCAGGATCTGTCTGTTTCTTAAGAGCTTCAGTGCACATTTATTGTTCATGTGACATATAAACTTAATGCATCACACGCTCACCCTCTTCTTTGAAGGCCTATATCCTGGGCACAAAAACACATCAAACCTGAGTCTTGCCTTCAAGTAACTGACAACTCTCAGACCCAGCTTCTATTGCCGGCTTTTTCTGTATGTGCTTTGTGATAATGGGCACAATTTTCATTACTCCTACAACTCTGTTCCTTTACCTAGAAGCTAGGCACACTAACATAATGCTTGTGGCCGCCCTGGCATAGTGTCTGGCCATATTGGGCCCTTAAATGTCTGTTGAATGAATTATTGAACAATGTGGGACAAACTCTGGAAGGAGTTTGGTCCAACAAGACAGAGGATAGTGGACTGAAGTTTTGGGGCATCTGTCCTGAGCAAAAGATAGATCAAGATGGGTTCTGTGTTTTCGACAGACTGAGGTGCTAAACAGGGTATATATAGTCAAGGCTCAGGGGCAGGGAACAGAATGAGACTCAGTGGCAGAGCAAGAGGTCACATGAAATTGAAATCATGGTAGTGAGGAGAGCTGAAACTCCTTAAAACTCCTCTCACTTCTGGTCATGGCTGATTATGGAGACCAGCGAGGGTGACCTGAAGATGGAAATTATTGGCCGCTGATGTTAATAGAGCTTCAGGGCTAGGAACCGGGCCTAGATCACTTAGATATGAATAAAACATATAAAATAATATAAAAGAGTAATTAAATTTTTGAGTCTCCTAAGCCTTAAAATCGTTGGCAGGATAGCTATTAGAGTACTATTGATGCTTACAATAAAGCTTCAACAGTCAGAATCCAAAGAGCCTGCAATGTTCATGCAAAGATTCAGGCTATATCTTGCAGTCCATTCAAATTCAGCCTCATCTCTATCACTTTTTACAGTTTACATTGCAATCCTCACCCACGGGCACTGATGTTCAGATTCTGAGACATGCCCACGACTGAAACCAAAGAAAGATTAGACCACAGTCACTGCATTCCAGTTACTAAGAAGAGAAATAAGACTCATGGCTCTTGGACTGATTTTCAGGAACAAAAGTTTAGGTAACTCCCAGACAACTTGAAAATAAAACTTGCTCTAGGACACCGCTTCCTCCTCACAGTTTCTCTGCATTCTGACTGATGGAGCTGCTCTTTCATTCGTGCATTCGCCCACTCACTCATTCATTCAGAATTGAAGAACTTCAGCTCCCCGACGCGGTTGCTGTGTTTCACGCACTCGGTGGTTACGGCCGGTGGCCACCATTACAGACAGCACAGATCTAGAATGTTGCCATCATCACGGAAAGTTTCCATTCTAGGATAGCATGGCCCAGTGCATAAACAATTGCCTCAGGATTTGTCCCAATGCAGGCAAGTGACGGGACTTGCACAGTCCCACAGCAGTCTGTCAAAAGCTTGGGCCGCTGGCAGGATGTTTTCTTGCAGGCTCTTTGGGCTCAGTGGTTCAGGGCACTACCGAAGGAAGTCGTGAATGCAAAAGCAAATTCCAGCCCGCACCACCCCGGGGGGCGGGGGGAATGGGTGCACAGACACAGGAAATGGTCTCTTAGGAGGTTTGGGAGGTGGGTAGTAAACGTAACTGCCACAGGGATGCCAGGTCTGGATTGTGAGCAAAGCACATGAATGGCCTAAAACCATAAGCCTACATCCAGTATGGAAATAGGAAATAGAAACCCCTTCAGTGCAAACTGTGCTCATTTAGAACAAAAGATGCAGCATGAAAAATCAGTATCTGTCCTCTAAACATAAAGGAGATACAGAGGTGATGCTTAACCTCCCAACTCGCTGCCCCTTCCCAAATGACTCAGCCTGACCACTGAACTGCAAAATAAAAATGTGTTATTGTAGGTGTATATTAGTCCTATCAGCAGTGATAAAATTAGGCCCATAATCATGCCCCTGATCTCCAGCTGGTTCTAGGCAGAGTCTGTCCAAGACGTTAGGGCGGCACTGGCCATTCATTCATACTTCATCCCCTGGAGCTAGGAGGTAATTTGCGGCCTGTTCCAGAGCAGCAGCCTGGAAAAGTAAGAGCTGGAGTTTCCATCCCAGTGTTTCTCCCACCAGGAGGGTGCTTAACCCCTGGCTGATCTCTCAGAGCCCTCCCCTACTAAATGTACCCGTGAATGCCTTTGTCTCCCAAACCCAGGGGGAGATCTACTTGGGGAAAATAGTGGTTTTTTTAACTGACTTTTTGGCTTGCGCTTCAGCCACCTGGTTTGCATAGACTGGTCACTGTCAGCTTCTCTCCATGCCTCTGGGGCTGTGCCTAGAGAAAGATTCAGAAAGCAAACAAGGAAAAAGACCCTCCCTTTCCTACACCCCCTTTCCCGATAATCATGCTGGGGAGATGTACCTTTCTGTAGCTCTGGGCTGAATGAGTTGCTGTGGAGCAGGGTTCACCCCAGCTGAAGTCGATTCTGTCCTTGCCGGAAAAGCCAGCTTTCTGAGGTGGGAGGCTGGGCTGAGGCTATTCGTTTCTGCCAGAAGTGGTAGAAATCAAAGGAATTCTCTGGATCCTTCTATTACAGAGGTTAATCCAGTACTTCCATTGGCTGCATCCCTAGCCACACACTTAAATTCATCAAGTGACTCCTTCCTTTATTTCCCACATGTTCTATGCAGTCACATGTGACCATGTGTCCTTTATACATGAGCATTTGGGCACATAGCGTGTCTAGTAGCATTATTTGTCTTTGGGTGCATTTTTCTAAAGAAGGGGAGTTCTGTCTTTTTTAAAATTTCTTTTAAAAATATTTTATTGAGGTCTAATTTATGAACAGTAACATATACGAATCTTAAATGTAAGCTCAATTTTTACTTATGGATATAGAGCCATGTCATCTAAAATTTTATTATAGGGTGTCTACTAATTAATCATCCCAGGTGACGGGTATTGCGTTTGCAAACACAGGAAGTCCTCACTTAATGACGTCAATAGATTCTTAGACACTGCGTCTTTAACCACTTTTGCCATAGGCTAATAGATAGAAACAGGAGTTGAGTCCCTAGGCATCTTTCTGTATTTCAATCAGCCTATGGTAAAATTAGTGTTTGTTTACACTGTTTCACTTAAGGTTACTGTTTCACTTAAGGTTACAGTTTCTAAGAACCAGTCGACGATGTTAGGTGAAGACTTATTATAAGCCAGGTGGTAAGAAACCAGTGGCTAACATTTGGAGAGGGAGAATAGACGAAAGCCAAGTACTATGCATAGATTTTCTCTGAGTTTGCAGAACTTGTCCAATTTAAGAATCACCTGGCTCTTTATCAAAGATTCCTGTCCCGAAGACCCTGCCCTGGAGATGTTGGCTCAGCCAGCCAGGTTGAGGGTCAGGAATATGTGCCTTTAATGAGCATTGGGAAAGGGTGGTCCTCAGCGTTCCCACTTTTAGCCCTCACAACCCTGTGAGATTTAGGTTTTATTCCCATTTCACAGACAAGTAGATAGAGGAACTAAGAGGTGAACCAACTTACCCGCATACAGCTAGGAAGAGAGACCTGGGGTTCCCATTCTGAGTTCACCTTCTTAACCACTGTTCCCTACAGCCTCCCAGGAGCATGTTCTCATTCCCTGAATTTTTAGAGGCTCTTTGAATTTGCTAAGTGTATTGTATAAACTTTTCCTTAGCTCTCCTGCAACTTAATTATAACGTCTACTGCAAAGTGATTATTAAAATTAAAATACGATCACTGTGTTTTAAGTAAGCTCATACTGCCACTACATAATACCACAGACTGGGAGACTCAAGCAACAGATGATTATTTTCTCACAATTCTGGAGGGCGGAAGTCCAAGGCCAGCATGATTAGTTTCCGGTGAGAGCTCTCTTCTTGGGTTTGTAGATGGCCACCACTCTGCTGAGTGCTCACGTGACTTCTTTGTGCACTGGGGGAGAGAGAGAACACTGGAGCTCTCTCTTCTTATAAGGACACTAATGCCACCAGAGCAGGGCCACCCCCTCATGCCCTGTCACTAAATAGAGTCACATAGAGGGTTAGGGCTTCAGCATATGAATTGGCGGTATAGGGGTGGAACAGAATTTAACCCATAGCAAATGGCATAAATCCAGCCTTGTTTAGCATGATGCCTGCCACATAGCAGGACTAGTGAGCACTGTTCGTGTGTCATACAGTCTCCCTTGGCACAAGAACTAGCTGGGACCATAGCCAGTAGGAAATAGGTTTCTTCCAAAATCAAGTTACTCCCTTAGACACTTCATAGTTGATTTGTTTATTTGTTTAGATGTGTGTGTGTGTGTGTGTGTGTGTGTGTGTGTGTGTGTGTGTGTGTGTGTTTAGGCCCAGGCACATCTAATTTATATTTTTCCGGAAGATGAAAATTTGATTGTGTTTCATAGCAGGGGCCCTAGAAATGCTCACATATTCTGGATGTTGACTGCCATGCAATGTTTACGAGCAGTTCCCTCTCTTACCTACAAGATTTCAGGGTGCATCGATGGTG